ATATCCAGGGATATATGCGATGTTTTCTATAACCTCTGAGTTTTAAATTATAATAAAGTACCTATAGTAGGATCATATTCGATGCAAAGTAATAAATCATTGCCTGTCAAGGGAACCAATGAAGTACGCTTTTAAGGGTTTTACAAATTGAATAATTTCTTTATACATTATGAAGGGACGAGGAGATCAGTTCAGGTCTGGCACCTTTGTTCCTACAAAAATTCCTTTATTCTCATAAACTATTTATTTTAAATGTAATTTATTATAAATCCAATTTGTTTCCTAAATTCCACATATGTACTACATTTTACCTCTGTACGCGCCACTGTTGTTCGATCCCACCCTTTTTCATATCCAGATGCACCGTCTTTGTCTGTTCCCATCGTGCCATTAAGTTATCTCGTAACCGTGGCGTGGTGGATGGCAGTATGGCGTATGGTGTGCTTTGGAGTCGGACAAGTATCGGTTTATCTGGTTATTCTAGTGAAAATTATATTTAAAAGCAGTGATTTAATTACAATAATTAAAGACAATATTATTTAGTCTCGATTAATATTTGATTAAATAAACGGATAGTTAAACTGCTATCTATAATTACGTATTTATAACGTACAATATAGGTTATGGCAATTTATTTATCCGATCAGTGAATCAATCGAGACCTAAATTATTGTCTCTGTGTTGAAACCACCATGACTGTTTAGTAGTTTATGACAATATTTAAATTAAAATTTCAAGAAAATATAAAGTGGTGCAAAACTACTACAAACGTTATAATGGAAGCATTTATTAAGTAAATTGTACACATTAGTAGACCTAATTTTAAATAACATGGTTTTTACTCAAAAAATATACAAATTTAATAAATCACAAAAAAGTTATTACAAAATACCGATTTTTATCGCTTAACTTCAAGGGTTAATATGTACTATCAAAATGTAGATTTGACGCATTATTTTTACAATATCTCTCCTAATTTGAACGTTCATCATTTGCAGAACACACTGTATAACGTCTAATTAATTTCAACACTGTATATCCTAATTAGTCATTTATGAATGATTTATTCTTGCACTCAATATTTAGTTAATTAAAAATCAAGTCTGAGTAAAACTGACTCAATAATAGTTAAATTTAAATCATACTAGAGAAAAAGTCAAGTCTAAATTGGTTTATACACTCAGAGTCAAAAGTCACTCAATTGATAGTTAGCAGTTACTAGGATTTGAGTAAAACACTCGATTTTTGATGCAATAGTTTCACTCAGCTGTATTCATACTAATAGAGTGAAAATTTCACTCAATCAGGTGTGGACAAAAATTGATACATTACTGAGCAAAATTGAGTGAAATTTGAGTGAAATTTTTTTACAGTGTATGAAGTATTTTTGATTCCATTCCTTAAAATTAAGTTAAACATTTTATTAAACTAAATATGAAAAAATAAAATGTTGATAAAGCTCTGGATCAAGAGCGGAACTATAAAAAATGGTTACTTTATTTACAATGAACCAAGTTCCCAAAAACTCCAAAAATCACTGATACTAATTAGTAATATCACTAGAATTAATTTTGATATCTATTTTTATTATTTATTACATTTTTTAAAAACTTTCCTCCCTTATATATATTCAAATGTTTTAATGAAAATAACACTGCATTACTAGATATTGATTCATTTTCATGGAATCGTTCTTTGTTATATAATTTCATTTTCTGTTTCAGCGACATCTTCAAGTTAAACAAAGTTCTAAATAGGTACCAAGAGGTAATCGACAATATCTTCCTACCACTATTCGAGGTAACTGTCAAACCGACCTCCCACCCTGAGCTCCACAAGTTCCTTCAGTACGTCATCGGTTTCGACTCCGTGGACGACGAGAGCAAACCAGAGAAGAATCCTTTCTTCAACAAGGATACCCCCACTCCCGACGAGTGGACAGACGATGATAATCCCAACTACGCCTACTATCTCTACTACATGTACGCCAACCTGTGCGTCTTGAATCACTTTAGAAACGAGAAAGGTCTGCATCCCTTCGTTCTAAGGCCTCATTGTGGAGAAGCTGGACCTGTTCAGCATTTGGTCTGTGGGTACATGTTGTCTGAAAACATATCACATGGTTTGCTGCTGAGGAAAGTTCCAGTGTTGCAGTACCTTTACTACTTGGCCCAGATAGGCATAGCTATGAGTCCATTGTCTAACAACAGTCTCTTCTTGAACTACCATCGCAATCCTTTGCCGGAGTATTTGGCAAGAGGACTGGTCGTTTCTTTGTCTACTGATGACCCCTTGCAATTCCACTTCACCAAGGAGCCCCTGATGGAAGAGTACAGCATCGCCGCTCAAGTGTGGAAGCTTTCCAGTTGCGACATGTGTGAACTGGCTAGAAACAGCGTGCTCATGTCTGGCTTTCCTCATAAGAGCAAGCAGTATTGGCTGGGTCCTAACTATACGAAGGAAGGAGTAGCCGGTAACGATATCGCTAGAACCAATGTGCCAGACATTAGAGTCGCTTTTCGGTATGAAACTCTCATCGACGAATTGTCCAACATCTTCAGGAACCACGGGAAAATGGAAGGCAAAGAATAAATATTTATCTTCATCTTTAATGGCTGATTTTTTAGTTGTAAGAATAAATTAACAGATATAGATCAATTGTACTATATATTACTGTACATGTGTCAATATAGGAACGTAGTTTTTAAGGATTTTCTTTAGTTGAAGTTTTATTTCTCACATATGGTTCGTGAGAGACTATTAGGATTGTGATGTAATAAAGCCTTAATGTTTGTAAAATATATTTTTCATTTTAAATATTGATTTCCAAACAACTTTATATATTTTTTATAGTGTTTTTTATATATTTTTAGATTTTGTCGAACTGTGTGAAATCAGTTCGTATTATTGGTGATAATATGATGTTATCGATGAAATTCATACAATATGTAGTTGTCTACTAGGTTTATTTTGATGTAATGACCAAATGTACTTCTGATTATAATGTAGTTACTAAATAATAAATTATTGCAGCAAATCGACTTTTATTGAACATTTGAAAGCATGAACATCCTGCTGCTTTTTATTAAATGTGTAAAGCGATAGGTAAGGAAAATATTCCAGTTTCAGTTTAGACTCGTCTGGAACATATTTTTTTTTATTTAAAAAAACTGCTTCAAAGTATAGATTTTTACTAATGTTTCCTTTATTTACAAAAAAATAGATAAATACAAAAAATAAGTAAGAAATTACAAAAATTTCAATACTGAAAATACACATGGTTTTTATCTAGATGCATTATTTTGGCAAAGACGACAAAATTCAGAAAATAAGTCGGACACACATTTTCTTTAAAATACAGTTTGTATTTTAGTACAGTCGGTATTTGTTTCATATAGTAACACTAATTTTTGTTGGAAATAGTGCTGAATATTGTGTAGAATGATAATTGCGATATGCGCATGCTAAAAAAGTTGTGCATAATTGTTAGCGTAAGAAAATGTGAAAAAAGTAAAAAAGGCGCAATTTTCCTTTTTTCTTCATTTATAACTCTGAGAATATTTACATTAGAGAAAATAGTCAGAGGAAAAAACGTTTCGTTCTGAGATTCTCTTCAAAATAAAAGTGGTCCGGCATTTTTATTTGCATTATTGTTGCTGCAATACAGTATGAACCAAAAACGAATTCGTGAAAAAATATCGCTTTTTCATGAATTTATTTCGGATCTTGACTTTAGAGCAGCCATATAAAAAGTATGGTTCTGAGTACTTCATGATATGGTAGTATTGCAGACATTTTTTCATTGAAATCGGCTGGGTAAATTTCGCACAATTGAATTGTTAATTAAGAAAATACAGAATTATACTTATTTTTCAATTCTCTCTCACGGTAAATCCAATGAATATTTTGAGCTCCCAATTTTTATACATATCCTTTGTAGTCTCAACTATCAATCGTCATTTAAAAATTTTCGATTTTATCCATTTTTAGCAACAATTAGAATTTTTTCAAAATTTCTTCCAAAAAATATTTATAAACATTTAGAATTGGAGCTACCGTATTTGCATATTCTCAAATGTAATTGCAGGATAAAATAGAGGAAGAATTGACGAACAAAATCCACTTTGGATCTTGTGGATACGAAGAATCGTCATCGAGATATGGAAGCTCAAAGTTGAAATGAGTTTACGGCAAAACAACATACTGTACAATAACAATCAAAAGTGATTTTGATTGTTTGATGCAAAGATTTTATAACTATGAAAATTTGTTTAAATCGGAAATGTATTTTAACTGTTCTAATGCAAAAAATATTGATACATTTCACAGGAATCGAGCAGAGAGTCAAAGAATTAGGAATGGGGGGACTATGCGAGCGGAGCAGCATAATTCACTCGCGCAACTTCTTCAATCGACTTTCTCAGCTTCTACAACAGATAAATAGATGATTTTTTTAAATTTTCTCTAATATCAATATTCTCCTAGTTGTATATGAAAGAAGGTAGAAAAATGCGCAGTTTTATTTTTTTTTACATTTTCTGCGCTAACAATTATGCACAACTTTTTCAGCGTGCGCATATCGCAATTATTATTATACATAATATTTAGAACTACTCCCAACAGAAATTTGCGTTACTATATAAAACATCCATCCCAGAACAGATACCGACTGGACTATTTAGAAAATACCACATGTACTGTTGTTGTTTTTTTCATTTTGTTCTCTCATCCATTGTTACGTAATAAAATATACCTATATTACATCATATATGAAGATCAATTTAGGATATTTTTAGGAATAATTAACAATTGGCGATAACAGCAAAAGTCTATTTGGTATGTTCTCATCATTGTCACAAAATTTTAATCACCTAACCCTTATCGACTAAAATTACAAAACCAGTTTATAAAACATCATCTCCTTACTTCTATATCAACCACTTACTATATACACCACGAAATACTTTGTTGAAATACTCATTATTATTTTACAAACAAAATATATCCTATTCCGTATTTAACGACAATTACCAATTCCTTTCTCCCTACGTATACCATTAAAAATTGGCCCAATGGAATGCTTTCATCAAGAAGTGCAGAAATGATAAATAATCACTCCACCTAAATACATTACAATTACACATTTAGCGACTAGCACAAGTAGATCTACCAATTCCTAGAACATTTTTTGTGTTACAATTCTTGAGATCGGTAGCACTGCTCAATAAAAGAAATATAAATTCACAAATGGCTATCACAGGTAGAATCACTGACGCTTTCCTGATTGTCTGACGATTTCGGTTTGTGCGTCTCTTTGGGAGGGCCCAACAATAAGGCGAATACGTTCCTGAACGGCGCTTCAACGGCTAAGTATAACAGGAAAGCGGTTGCGAACGCGAGGCAGATGTCTGACAGAGAAAAACTTATCTGAAACAGATATTTTAGCATTAAAACGTGTTACTTAGTTTTCACGAAGGTTGTTCAGTGAAAGTTTTCATTTCAGACCGTATAATTTCGTTTGACATTTCATTTGACATTTCGTTAATTAGAATCAAAAGCTGTTGTCGGAAGCGGCAGCACCAGCAAGATCAATAACAGCAATAACAAGGACATCTAATCTAAGGCAACGACACTGATAACGCTCTTAAATCTTATTACTTGAACTGATTTCCTTAATCGACAGTATGCGTAAGGAGGATACGAAGCGTTCTGCCGAGTTGGGGAGAAATGCTTTGACTATAACAGTAAGGAATCTCTGATTACTTAGTAAGGAATACTCTGATCATAGATTAAAGTAGTCTGCTTTAGTTGTTACTGTTGCTGCTGCTGCTGATGTACATATGCTATTGCTGTCGTTGTTACTGCTGCTGCTGCTGGTGTTGTTGTTGTTGTTTTGGTTGTTATTGTTGCTGTTGTTGTCGTTTTTGTAGTTGTTGCTGTTGATGTTGCTATTGTAAATCAATAGCATCAATAACAACGACAACAACAGCAGGTAACTGCAACAACTACTACTGCTGCTGCTACCACTACTATTACGGCAACAACAACTACAACAACATCGACAACAGAAGCGGCAGCACCAGCAAGATCAATAACAGCAATAACAAGGACATCTATCTTTGGATAGAAGAAAATGTCCAAAGATTTTGGATACCTACTAGTATCAAACGAAACTAGACAACATCAACAACTGTTCTTTCAAATGTTTATGTTTTAACTTTTTAAGAGTAAGATTTAGACTACAACAGGTACGTATGCACAAAATTCCATCACTGGATGGCCAATTTTTAAGATTAAGTCAAGACAAAATTTTTACAAATGGTTTAAAAATATTGAGGTTGAGACTAACACTAAGAGTTAAGATTAAGGCAAAATCAGCTAATCTAAGGTTAAAAAGTATGAAATATAAATACACTCACCACATCAAAGTATGTTACGACATCAGCTCCACCCTTCCTAGCCACCGTCCTCAGCTGGAACTGCATGTGCACCAAATAGGCCCCATAGACGAGCTTGCTGAGGGGAATCCACGGTTTCCATGACAAGAAGTTGTAGACGAATTTTGCGTGCCCGTAGCTGGCCACGTATAAAATTCCTACGCTGCCCACTGACCAAAGGGCTCGATGCATAGCCGAGTACATCGCAGATTCAACGGCATTGTACTCGTAGTAAGGGTTGTAGAATATTACCCCAGTAAGGAGGGTTACAATCATGACAGTCAGGGATACTGTGAAAATTATGTGGGAGTATCTCTGAAAAAGAAAGTGTTCTTCATTTTTTTTATTAAAAAAAAATTGGTGGGTGATTCCAGAATGTAAAAACTGAAGCATTTTAAGAAGTTTCCTGTGGATAAAAACTCGACAACGCGTATGTAGTGCAAATAGGAAGACTGGTGATAAAAATGTATTGTCAAAAAAATCTGCAAGTTCCAAATGAAACTCGGCATAGATCTTTAGAAAATCAGTTATAATAATTTCGTGAGAAAATAGTATTACCATAAGTGAAGAAGACAACAGACAACAGAGAATGAATGAACAGCAATGCAAACATTGCTGTTCATTCATTCTTCACGAAACAGGCGTCTGAATTTTTTGGTTGCCAATCATATATAAAACCCATTAGAAAATGGATTTTAAATATCTCCAAAAAGTTTTAGGTCCATTTTTTATTATTTTAGTAGGTATAATGTACCTACCAATTACTAAATTTCTCTAAAACGGCATAGAGTATCAGAATCTAACAAGACATATTATTTCAGTTTTTTAAGATGGTTTTTCATAAACAAAAATGACACGTGTTCATTAAATAGTATTCACTGAAATTATTACAATCTTTGATCGAAAGACCTTCTAGATGTTTAAAAAATATATTTTGTCAATCTTTGTCTTTTTACTAATCCTTTAAAAATATTTGCAGGAAACTTTTTGCTGAAAACAACATTTTTCCATTTCAATTTGGCTACACATTTTAGCACAATCCTTTACCAGAATTAAAGACGTTTTTTTTCAATAATGTAAAAAATCAGTTCTATTACTTGTCTGAAACTAATAAGACAATCTCTTTTCGTTTGGTTCACACCTTGTATAAATTGTATGCCTATGATACTTCTCAGTTGTTTTTTATACTAATCTAGTTCATCTGACACTTCTATTGAAAAGAAATAAATAGCTCTTACGTTTATCAGACAGATAAAATTTTAGTAATTAATATATTTTAATGTAACACTTACATAATATTAAGCAACGCCCTGTACATAAATGTTAGTTAGTATTGGCCCAATAATACATCATTATGTCACCCAACAAAATCCGCATAAATTAAGACCCGTAAATATTGCGAACGTAAAAGAGAAAGTAATATTTGTTGGTAAATACCAGCTATCTGGAATTCCTTGTTTAATCACATCCAAAATTTCGTAATAATCGATTATTTTCACCTGCTTTCCTAATGAGTGCAGTAAGATATTAGCTGTATTGGCCTGAATGCGATAACAAAATTAAAAGAGAGTTTTAGTAGCACATTTCCTTAAAACAATAAAATGATTTAAGACTTTTTTATAATTTTTTATTATTATTAGTTCTTGTATCTTTACTTTAGTTTAAGTTAAACGTATAAGTGAAATTTGTAATAACACATGTAATTTCAATGCTAGAAATTTTAAACAACGCTGAAGTTATTATTTTGTCATACTTATTTAAAAGTATTTCTGTTTCACATTTCAGTCAATTAAAATCAGTTAAAATGACTAAGTCAGCTGTTTTTTTTTTATTACTTTTTGTTCGTTGTTCTCCCTTACTCTTGAAAATTCATTCAAACTTAAATAGTTCAGCTATTCAACTTGAAATTTTAATTGACATCATCTAGAAACTGGTTTCTACAGGATCAAAATGTTACGAAAATTTTTAAAATGAGTTTAACTCCACCAAATCTTTATGGATAATGAAATTTTTTTTCTTCATTTATTTTCATTTGCATTCATTTATTAATTGCAGTGTTTAAATTTCTTTCTACTTACTTCTTTCAAACACTTCTCAGACCCTTTCATCCTGTAGAATATATACCCGGCGATCATACCAACGAAATATGGCGACGCCCTTGTGTGCGACTTTGAGTAGCTAAGCAAAAAGTCAGGATGTAGCTTCGGAGCTCGGAGGAATTCTGGATAAAAGAACAACACAGCAGGCCGCATGTTGACTAGCCCAATAACAAAAGGAATCAGTACAGATAGAAAGGTTATAGCACCTAGCAGGATAACTCCCACCTTCTTGTGTTTTTGTATGGCCATGCACAAGAAGACGGCTATTATGAAGTAATGGAAGTCGCATGGGAGGTACCAGGAATGCACCATACACTGAAAATAAAGAAAAATGCATTAGTTTAGCTTATTAAAGTGAATTTGGAAAGAAGACCTGTTCAGGAAGAGAAATAAAGACAATGCCATGATAATAAATGTAATGTTTTCAATTAAACAAAATGTTTTTGCAAATGTATATTCTAAATATACAGGGTAGCCCATCGAAAACGTACTGCAAGGCATTACAAGGTAGTAAAGAACTTTTCGGCAAAATCCAAAAACAGGTCAAATTTGTTTCTGAGGGGGACAACTTTTGGCTCAAAAAGCATACCAAAATCTTCAACCCCCTAAGTGGGGGTGCTATCCCCTAAATTTTTTCAAATGGGAATGGGGGTCAAGTGGGGGGTCATTAGAAAGGGCTTTTAATTCTCTATACATCGATTCTTACTTTTTGAAAATCGATTCATTATTTTAGAAAATATGCAGCTTTGAAAATACGAACAATATTTTTGACGAGAAATGCGAAAATCGATTTAATTTTACTTCAAAACTTACGGTATTAGTCAAGTAAATGCTGAAAATGTTGTCCGCCAACTTGCATACAATGATACAGGTTGTCTTCAAACCGTTGTCGAACATTCTGGAGCACTTGCGGTGTTACTTCGCGACATACATTAATGATTCGTCCTCGCAGATCTTCCAAGGTATCAGGTGGAGTGCTGTAAACTTTGCTTTTAATGTGCCCCCAGAGAAAGAAATCTAAAGGATTTAAGTCGGGTGACCGAGGGGGCCACTCAATTGCACCTCTTCGTCCTATCCAGCGTCCTGGAAACGTCTCATTTAGGTAATTGCGCACATTGAGCGAGTAATGTGGAGGAGCTCCGTCTTGCTGGAAAATCAGTTCGTGTTCATTGTAAGCAGGGTCGTCCTCTATGATATTTGTTAGAGCTGGGTCGATGACATTTTGTAGTAAATCCAAGTACATATCGCCTGTCAAATTTCCAGGAAGGAAAAAAGGACCTACAATGGAATTTCCAAAAATACCTGCCCATACATTCAACTTCTGGGGGTGTTGGGAGTGTGTCTCATGGAAAATCCTTGGATTGGTATCAGCCCAGTAACGACAATTATGGCGATTCACTAAACCATTCAAGAAGAACGTACACTCGTCCGAAAAACACACATTAAAGAGGAAATTATCGTTTATCGCTCGTTCAGTCATTATTTCGCAAAATTGCAAACGACGATCAAAATCGTCTTCATTTAGCTCTTGCACTAGCCGAATCTTATAAGGATGGAATTTGTATTTTTTTAATATTCGTTGGACACTTGTACGACTCACTCCTGTCGCAGTAGCCAATTGCATTGTACTCAGCGTACTATCCATTGCCACTTGCCCCAATACCGCTATTTCCGTAGGTTCATTTAGTACCGGATTTTCAACCTGCCTCTTTTTGTTATGAACGGAGCCAGTTTCGCGAAATTTGGCCACCAATTCGCGAACAATTTTTCCAGACGCATGTTTCTCAGGATGCCGTTGGTTGAACAGTTCGGCGACCCGATTTCCGCATTCATTGTTTTTGAAAAAAAGCTCAATAATTTCTACTCTTTCTGGAATTGAGTACACCATAATTAATCAATTTAAAAGACTCGGCAGTATTGGTACTCTTCAACTACAAGTCACAAGACAGTTATCTAGCAACTTCTTGTGGCCTATCTAAATACGAAACAAAAAGCGGACAATTTTTTGCTCACCAAAATCAGGCTAAAGAATTCGCAAATCAAAAAAAAAAACAGCGAATTCTTTTGAAGGAATTTACCAAGCTAATACCGTAAGTTTTGAAGTAAAATTAAATCGATTTTCGCATTTCTCGTCAAAAATATTGTTCGTATTTTCAAAGCTGCATATTTTCTAAAATAATGGATCGATTTTCAAAAAGTAAGAATCGATGTATAGAGAATTAAAAGCCCTTTCTAATGACCCCCCACTTGACCCCCATTCCCATTTAAAAAAATTTGGGGGATGGCACCCCCACTTAGGGGGTTGAAGATTTTGCTATGCTTTTTGCGCCAAAAGTTGTCCCCCTCAGAAGCAAACTTTACCTGTTTCTGGATTTTGCCGAAAAGTTCATTACTACCCTGTAATGCCTTGCAGTACGTTTTCGATGGGCTACCCTGTAGATAGTATTTCTTCCAAATCTCTTAACACATTTGCAAACACTCTTGATAGTGCAGTCATTGAAGCTTTTCATCTCCGAATTCTTTGAAACTGAACCGATCGACTTGAAATTTGGCAGATAGTTAAAGAAAAGGTCAATGAACATTAATGACACCCTGTTGGGGGTTGACACCCCTTTTCGGGAGTTGAAATTTTTTTCAAAAATAACGCTGGAAATCGATAGATTCAAATTTTAAGCAAAAAATATTCGAAGAATTTTTTCGAAAAATCAATAGTTTTTTAGTTATTAACAATTGAAAACTTGTAATTTTGAGTGAAAATACCACTTTTTCAAAGTATTTTTTGCGAATAACTCAAAAACTACGCATTTTATTAAAAAAAGTGTAATGAACAAAAATGTAGCTTATAAATAAACAAAGAAAACGGTTTTTTTAAGTGTTCTACGTCCTACACAAAGCGAAATATGGTTAGTGGAAGGGGTCATGTTTTGGGGGGAATACTCGAATCGATTTATTCAACGTCAAATAACGGAAAAATGATTAATTTTACGTGTATAGCGCTCCGGGAGTTTTTTGTAGGACTCAAAAAGACCTTCAAAATGAGTACTTATAAAAGTTAATTAGATCAAAATTGAAGGAGTAATCGTCAAAAACAAATGGGTTGCTCATATTTTTTAAGGAAAAATGAGCAGTAAACGCTGTACCATTTCCATCAGAATTAAAATTAATCGTACTCTTTACAATTAGTTTTGTTTTAGTGTTTTTCATACGATTCTGAAGTTACACCGGTTTAGAATGCGTATTTTTTGAATACGGTAAAAGTTGAAAACGTATTTTTCATTATTCAAAAAAAATGATTTTTTTATATAATAACTCTGAAACTATGAAATATACATAAAAAATGAAAGACAACGAAAATGTAGCTTTTTTTTTCAACAAATATTTTGCTTTTTTTTATTCCTATGGCATAAAAAATAAAGGAGATATCGCCGCTTGAAGTATCCATTTTAGTGAAAAAAACGACCTGTCTCGAGCCTTTCGATCCTTTCCCTTTAAAAAACGGAAGACTTAAAAGGTTTTATATGCAAACGATCTTACAGCTCTTGAAATTATCTTTAAAATATTTTTTTATAGGATACTATAGCTTCAAAATTAACCGAGTTATGGTAAAAAACCAGACATTTTTTCGGAGCAAAATAGGCTTTCTCATTATTATATACGAGTATTATATTTATATTATATTATACAAATAAAATAAGTAAAAAAAATTGAGTGTGATTATATGCAGCGTAGCAATTTTTTTTATGATTGATTATATTTAGAAATCGATTAATAAAAAAATATTTTACATGAATATTGGTAAAAGGGTAGTTTATAAGAATTGAAAATGGCAAAAGTAAAATATTCTTTCATAAACAATATAAGGGAATTTTTATTTTAAATTATCGCACAATTATAGCATTCCAAGATTTAAAACGTAATTTTTTTATCATTTTTTTAGCACAGGGGTGATTTATAAGGGTTGAAAAGTGTTATGGGATACAAATTCTTTCATAAGCAATCAGGGAAATTTTATTTGAAATAATTGCACCGTTAAAGCATTCCAATCTTTTAGTAATTTTTTATCATTTTTGTAAATACAAGGGTGTTTTTAGGGGTTGAAAGGGAAAAATTCTTTTATTAGCTATAAGGTAACTTTTATTTTAAATAATTGGACGATTTAATCATTCCAAATCTTTAAAAAGTAATTTTTTATTATTATTTTTTGCATAGGGGTAGTTTTTAAGGGTTAAATAAAGGGTTGAAAAGATCAAATGTATCATAAAACATGTTCGAGAACATGGAACATTATTTAATCTTTGTGCTTGAATAAGATTTTTATCAATGAAATGCTTAAAACTTATTTTTTTAATTTTTTTCACTTAGATGTTGTTTTTACCCATAAAAAAAAAGCATCGGGCTTATGTCACTTTTGAACTTGAGCCTAAGATGAGCCTTATTCTAAATTGTCATGCAAATCCATGCAGTTCCAAAGAATTCGGAGGTTACAGCTGATTTTCAGCTTCAATGACTGTACTATGACTGACTTACGTCCTATTTAAATATATCACTTCTCTTAGAACTTATTGTGAAGTAAGTACCTAATATTAAGTGGTAAATTGTAATTAGGATAAAAATTGTTTGACAAATATCTTACCATGTGGTCTGTGTTGACGTAGTTGCTGATATAGAGCAAGTTTGTCCACCAGTTTGTTCTGCAATCGTTAACTTCTGATGATACTATTACCTTCCACATTGGTCCAAACCCAGTATGATTTAACAAAGTGGCATAGTAGAATATAACGAAGGCGTATATAGGTGTAAGTCTGAAATATCGTAGTTTAATATATTTAGCTGTTCAAAAAAGTTATGACAACTTTGGAATTTTATTCAAGTAATGAAATAAACAAAATAAAATTACCTGACGTATCTCATGAATACTATTAGAAACGGGTTAGCAGCTTTTTTATTGAAATGAACTAGTAGGCAGTACGTCACTAGAAGACCACTTAGGACGAAGAAGGAATCTACGAACAGGTCACCATGGAAGAATAAGGTTCCCATTGTGGATCGGTATTGCTGAAAATAGATATCTAACTTGAAATTGATACAAGGATTCCTTTTGCAGTCAATTAGTTTTTTTATTTTATTAAAGCCAATTGATAGAACCCACAATGTTAGATCCCGTAAGGATATTCGCTGACGCCAAACTGACATAAGAGTCATGTACAGTCGGTTCAAAAATATATCAGTAACAGGGTCTGATCAAAGGAACACACCACTTTCCTTGTTTTGGTGCTTGTGTAATAATTATTTAAACTTACTTCTTCGACTATATCAAAATTCAACACGCCGGACGACAGATGAGTGCCGAATCTGTGGTCCATAATTATCATCAGAATACAGAACACTCGCATGCCATATAAAGTTTGGAGAGCGGGATTTGATTCGTCAGCCTTTGAGAGTAGCTTGTAGTTGTTTTTTATGGAAAATGCTGATGCCAGGACGGTGAGCGGTGTTCCTAAAACGGAAATTGTTTTCAAAAAGGTAAAGGGACTTAAAAGTTCGCTACTCACTGTCTTTTAATTTGTCTTGTGCGACGTTCCTTAATACATCATACGCTGTTGAGGATATAACGAGGATAACAATTATCCCAGCGACCAAACTGAAAATATTCATAAACATTAGTTTTAGCGACGAATTTAAGCAGTCTAACAAAAGAAGGTTGATGCATTATGAAGAAGATTCCTAACTGATGATGTTATGGAAAACAATTACTCAATGGGCTATGTGCCCCATCTGCATTGAATTACACTATCAATATCTAGTAAATAGCTAAATAACCATCCAGAATAAAAACTAAAAATGATGTTTAAATATATTTCAGACAAAAACAAATGACTAATATATTGAATTTGTTAAACAATGTAATAATTCAAAAAAATGTCTTATATTTTTGGTGTTCTAACATCATCCTTGACAAAGACCAACATTTGGGAATCTTGTCTGTTAGTTTGGATATTTTTACATTTCTGGTATCAAAGAATAAAGTTTGGATTCATTTGACAAGATTTTTTAGAAAAAAATGAATTTGTTTGAATTACTTGCATATCTTTACACTAGACTAAATATAGAATATTTGTTTTATAAAAATACTCAATTAAGTACTTAGATTTATGAGTACTTGGGTATTTTTAAAAAACATAAATTATTTAATTAGAATTCATAAATACTAGAGAATTATGTGTGTGTAGGGACCTATATTTGTAGAAGAATAAGTTAAAATCAATACTGCAGATGTCAGAGATAATATAAAGGATCTCTTTCCAGTAAATATGATATTTTTCTGCATATTATAATATTAATATTAGAATAATAAAAACTTAAATCTTTATCATGTATCATGTTCATTGTTCAGTATTAAAGTAGGTACAGCACAGAGGAAATATCGTAGGGATCAATTCCATAGGGCAATAAATACGCAGTGGTTTAGGTAGGACCATCTTCCATTTTCCCACCTGCGTCTATTTTTAAATCGTACCCATTCCCATTCATATAATATTCTCTGTACTGTATGCATTAGCACCATAAGAGTCATCCCTGAGCAACAGTAAATTATTTATTAAAAAAAAATGTATTACAGTTTTCAGATAAAATATGTATAAATAGTATGTATAGGATGATTCACTATATTTTGACCCATCATTTTCGAAAACTTCATAAAAAATCGTGCAACTTTTGTATTTCACATTTTTTTATAACTCTAAAAACAAAAAAGGTATTAGGGGTCAAAATATAGTGAATCACCCTGTACCATATGCGATTTTTTTACGATATTTAATGTTTCAAAAAGTTAACAGAAAAATTTGTTTAAAGCGCCTTTTTTAGGAAGTTCACAAGTTTTCAATTCAATCAAACATCATCATATATCAATCACAGAAAGAGTAAAAAAAAATTCTCAAGTGAGTATTATATTTATCACAGCTTTTGCATCACGATAGGATTTAAAAACATGTCAAATTTTAAATTTATGCCATCACCTTCTGCAGATGTATGTCAGAAAACGAAAACTGTGCTCCAATTCTATTTCAGAAAACTTAATTTGAATTTTAGATTGATAATATATATTTTAGAAAGCATCAATCGAATTTCAAAATAGGCAGTTTTAATTCAGGACATGTAAATTGTACTTCAGATTAGTCAATTATATTTCAGAATGTGCCATTTGTATTTAGTCCTGTAGCCAGGGGGTCCCAATTGCCTCCTTCAGTTAGATGGAGTTACCCAAGTGTTTTTTGTGTATTTTGAGCTGCAGAACACGAATTTTTTGGGTACAAGTTTGCCCGGATGTCGATAAGTTTTTTATTAACAACTGAGAACTTAGTTTTTGGCAAAATAAATATTGCAATTTTCATTAAAGTGTTTCGTTCAGTTTTTATGGTTTCTTTGGTCTAGAAATGAAGAGTACACGTCAAGATCGTGTAATTATGTTTTCTTAAATACAATTTGCAATTTCCGAAATATATCTGGAAAAGTTACCTAGTCCTATATTATTACTTTTAAACATCTTTAACATTTAACACAGTCAATAATCAACATTGTATTTAATGTGAATATTTGAATACAAGTATTCTGGATTTGAGTACCGCTAAATACTTTTTTCCGAACAGAATATTCAGTATTTATGAATTAAATACTTTTCCTGCATTCATACTTTGCTTTGATTGTTTTAAGTGGACAATTTTGCTATCTTTTTCAATAACTAACCAGTAAAATATAACCAAATTTGATCTGAATTTAACAAGAAATTATTGAGAAAAAAATTATTATTTCTAACCAAAAAAGATTTCCTATCTACCAGAGATGAAGTTACAACTTATTTTACAAATTCAAGCAGCACTTACCAAAATGATATATCCACGTGATCATAATTACTCTTCTCTTCTTCCCTCTGACAAAAGTTTTCATCAAGGTAAGAAGAATACGTCACGTTTTCCTTTTTCAGCGGAAAATCAACTTTATCCAGGTAATTGTTGAGATAGTTCTGAAGATCAGATGGAGTGCAGGACGCAGGTACACACCAGCCTAACAGGACAACGTTTTCTGACTGCTGTGAAGGGTCTTTTTTATCCTATGAACAAGCAATTATCTTTAGAAAAATTTTAACAAGGAAAATCGCATCATTTTTACCCTGTCGCTAGTTTTAGCAAATGTGTATTTGATAAAAAATAACTGTATGATAGGGTTATGTTTATGTATAAAAATTCTAAACATTTATATTATGTCTAACAGAATATCTTCTAAATAATTTAAATAATAATGTTAATTAAACAATAAATATATTTTATTTCTCACATGTATACTACTAATTAGTAAATACATATTGTTAATTAGTAAATAACCATTTGAAATTTTCGCTTTGGAAAATATTTATGTAAATGTAGGCAATTTTTATTTGTTTACTATCCATTTATTTAATAATAATCAAACTAGGTTAAGAGTATTCTGAATTTTAAACTATGAAGTTGAATATACTTTAAATGTTTGCTTCTCTTTAAAACAGGTTTCATCCGAAGAATAGCAAAAAGATGAACGAACTTCCTGGAGCGTCATTGTTTCTAGTAGATGAAAAATTAACTGTAAATTATGCATGCGTATCTACAAATTTGTAAAGCATAATATACAGGGTGTTAGTAAATAAGTGCGACAAATTTCATGGGGTGATTCTACATGAGAAAATAATGGCAGTTTGCTTATAAACGTATGTCCGCAAATGATTCGTTTTCCGAGATACGGGGTGTCAAAGTTTTTCTTAAAAACTGACGATTTAATTTATTGCTCTGAAACCGGTCGAGATGTGCAAATGAAATTTGGTGGGTTTTAAGAGGTAGTTATTGCGCATTTTTTGACACGCAATTAAGAATTTTATGTTCATCATTGGCGCGCGTACGGGTAATAATCTCAATTTTTTTAAAGAAAAAAATGGTACGCCACTGAGATATTACAAATTAAAAATCATTTTTGAATTCCTCGTTCAATTTGTGACAAAAAATCTCTCTTGCCTTTTCTTCGTATGGGGCGCCGTTTTGATGCAAAAAAATAAAACATCTTAACGCGTATTTTTTATTTCTTTAATACATTACCTAGTAGGCTACTGTCAACATTTGTCTGTTAAATACGAATATTTTTAAGAAATGTCAAATTAGCGTTTCGTCATTATTAATTTATTAAGCTTTTAGTTTGCTATAACATTAGTGTTAATAAGTAATTAATTTTTCTTTTATCGAAAAGAATGGAAAATTTTACAAATGCGGAATTGTCAGACATGCATTTTGTCTATGGTCGAAGTAATGGAAATGGTCGGCAAGCTCGACGATTGTATGCTGAGTTGTATCCAGGACGTAGGGTACCTCATCACACAATATTTGCTCGTCTTCATCAACGTTTGCGCGAAAATGGTTCATTTAAGAAACAAATGGTTGACTGTGGGCGCCCTCGAGAAGTAAGAACTGTGCAACTAGAAGAAGCAGTTCTCGAGTTAATTGCGGAGTCACCTGAAACAAGTATACTCGAAAAATTACCAACATATTGAATGTAAGCAACTTCACTATATTTAAAATTCTTAAAGAACAACAATTATATCCGTTTCATATTGAACGTATGCAAGCTCTACTACCTAGAGACATTTTTCCGCACCTATTTTTTTGCCAATGGATTAATCATCAAATCGCTCAAATTCCTAATTTTTTAAATGCCGTTTTGTTTACTGACGAGGCTACTTTTGGACGACAGTTATATATACGAAATTTCCATAACAATCACTTATGGGCTGAGGAAAACCCCCATGGAATCTTTGAAGCTCATTTTCAGCATCAGTTTTCCGTAAATGTATGGCTTGGGGTAATTGATGATCATTTAATCGGTCCATATTTCCTCCCACAACGACTAACAGGCGAATCTTATCTTAATTTCCTACAGGAAGAGTTACCTGTT